ACCAAGCTCAGAGAGCACCAAGGACTCCATCATCCTGGATTAGCCTCTTACTTCTAATAGGGACCAGGAACTTGTGCTTCACCTTGCAACCTGCCTTGTCTTTCCTTCGCTAGCAGCTTTAACGTTCCTCTTTGCTTAAAATAAATTACTACCCAGTCCTTGCCTGCTGTACAGGTGGGCTCTGTCTGGAATTGGACATCTTCTGCCCCCAAAGGTGGTGCTCCATACTGCGGAGACAAAATACGCTCCGGAGTTGAGCCTAAAACAGTTTCTGAGCAAACAAACCCCAGGCCTTTCCACCATTCGCAACCAAGAAACTACAACATCCAGTAGTCCCAATCTTGGGGCTATTTGGGAAGTCGGTGAAGAATCAAGAGGAAGCGTCCAACTCACCTGACAGAGGAGAGTCCCATCCCGCTCGACAATGCACTCCGCTTTCTCATGACAAGGGCTTGGTTGACCATTGGGGCAATGTCGCTTGGTCTTGATCCGGCAGCCAGAACTCTGGTCCCCTTCAAAGCCGTTTTTGCACGCCCCACATTTGTAGGAGCCCTGCAGGAGGAAACGGGGTGGTCAACCAGCTGGATTGGCATTGGTCTCGTTCCCCCACAACAGAAGGGTAAAACCAGTTCAATTACTCTTGTGAAACTTTCTCTCCACCCTCCCTCTCCCATCTTTTCCATCCTTTACAAAATAACAGAGTTGGAAGGGACCTTGGAGGTCTTCTAGTCCACCCCCTGCTCAAGCAGGGAACCCTACGCCATTAGAGATAAATAGTTATCCAATCTCTTCTTTAAAACCTGCAGTGTTGGAGCACCCACAACTTCTGGAGGCAGTTTTACTAGTTTTTTTTTAAAATAATTGTTTATTTAAAGTAGGGGAGCCTAACCTTGAGAACTTTAAACCTGTGGACTTCAAGTCTGAGAATTCCCCAGCCAGCCATGTTGAGCTGGGGAATTCTGGGAGTTGAAGTCCACAAGTCTTAAAAGTTGCCCAGGTTGGACACCCCTCATTTAAAGCATCCCAAACAGAGGTGGTATTCAGCAGGTTCTGACCAGGTCTGGAGAATCAATAGTGGAAATTTTGAGTAGTTCAGAGAACGGCAAATATCACCTCTGACTGGCCCCGCCAACCCCATCTATTCTCTGCCTCCCGAGTCCCAGCTGATCGGCTGAGTCTTCTTTGGTTGCCCTGCACAGGAGAAAGGAGCTGGAAAGCAGGTTAGTGGGGTGGGGAGGGAATGGGGATTTTGCAGTAACCTTCCCCTGCCACGCTCATTGAGCCACTGCCACGCCATGCCCACAGAACTGTTAGCAAAAAAAAAATTTGAATCCCACCAAAGGGTGGGAATGCTCTGAGATTCATCGAATCCCACCGGTTCCACTGCAGCACATGCTCTAATAATGGAACTTCCAAACTCAGATTCTTTCCCTGGTTTTTCAGTGAACGAAGGCCCAACTCTGGAAGCCCTTCACGCCTTACGACGGGACATGCGTTCTGATGCTCATCCAAACACAGACACAACAGGATGTTTAGGCCAGGGCGGCTGGCTGGACACCAGCCCTCCTCTGAAACGTCGACGGGATGGGAGCAGTGAGTCAGAAGATTTGCCTGCAACGGGTGGCTCTTAAATGAGATTCAGCAATCTTGCAAAGCGAAGCAATCCACGAAGATCAGATTGCAAGGATAAAGAAGGTGACATGGGGGGAGGGGGGAGAGCACCAGGTTGGAGAAGGCTGGTCTAATTTCTCCCCCCCCCCCCCGGAAGTAACGAAGTCCAGGCAGGGGTGGGATTCAATTTTTTTTTAACAACCGGCTCTGTGGGCGTGGCTACGTGGCCACGGCCAGGGAAGCCTCCTGGGTGGGCAAAAAATGGAGGAAAAAAATGGAGCCTGGGGGTGCGCATGCACGATAAGGACTGACGGGCTGGGAAGGGGAGGGGCAGGCAGAGAGGGGCGGGGCCAGACAGGGGTATGATTTGCTGGTTCTCTGAAGTGTGCAGAATCATAACAACCGGTTCTATAGAACCGGTCTGAACTGGTAGAATTCCACCCCTGAATCCAGGTATGTCCAGAGAAGGTATGAGACCGAGTGGTGAACAGTTACCGGAGTGTTAATGCAGATGGAATTGGCCACGCAGGACCTGGCAGTCCCTTCCTCGCATTCGTTGACATCATTGCAGATCTGTTTGGCAAAGCAAACACACAGGGGTCAGGGATCCAATGATGGGAACAGGTAGTCCCCGACTTACCACCGTTCATTTAATGACCATCGAAAGTTACAACAGCACTGAAAAACAGCTACTTTTATGACCATTTTTCACCCGACTATCACAGCATTCCCCCATGACCACGTGATCAAAATTCACATGCTTGGCAAACGGTTCGTATTTATGACGGTCGCGGTGTCCCGGGGTGGGTCAGGCAATCCCATTTGGCGACCTTCTGACAAGCAAAGTCTATGGGGAAACCTGGATTCACTTAACAAACCACGTTTACTAACTTCACCACTGCGGTGATTCACTTCACCACCGTGGCAAGGAAAGTTGTAAAATGGAGCAAAAAGTCACTTCACTGTCTCAGACAACAACAGAAACTTTGAGCTCACTTGTGTGGTTGTATGTCACAATCGGGATTGTGGTTGTAAATCAAAAACGACCTGATCTACAACTGGGCCTTTAGTGATTCTTCATGATTGCAATGAATCCCCAACAGGACTTAGGAACAGAATTTGAAGTTTCAGTAGCCAGGCCAACTCCTTCCCCGTGGTCATGTTGTCAACTAAAAAGAGACTCCCTTTGGCCTTTTTAGCTGCCAGAAAGCATAAGAAGGTTATTGGATGACTCTCGGAGACAGATGTGTCCCATTGGAAAAGTCACATCCAAGAGGTGGGGAAAAGACCAGGGTCAAGGGGGAAATGTATGATGTGATTTAGTATCGGCTGCACCCAGCCATGCGCCAACATGGCAATTTCTAATAAACCAATTTACTTTTTCGGAGATGCGGCTAGAGACTTTTGATTTGAATGAGGGTGGATTTGAATGAGGGTGGACTGTATTTTGTGTGCTCAGCAACCAGCTGGCATTGCCTTTCGAAGCATCCCACTGTTACATGATTGTGATGTATGACATTTTTGCTGAAAATCAGCATTTCTTTCTATTTTCAGGCAAAAAACACCCATAGCAAACGGGCTACTTCTGACTCATATTTGAAGTTTGAACAGCTCCCCCCCCCCAACAAGGTCACATGATCACATTAGGCCGCACTCAGGAACTGGCACATATTTGTGGCCATTTGTAGCATCCCTCAGTCATGTGACCACAATTTACAATTTGCAATTTGCTTTTTTTTTTTTTGCCAGAAACAGCCTGTAGAGATTCTCAGTCACCCAGGTCACAAAAGAGGCTTTTTTCAGGAGGCAACTGGATTTTCTTTCTTTTTGCTTTTGAAGACATTTCACTTCACATCCAAGAAGCTTCCTCAGCTCTGACAGTTCTTCCATTCCCCGCTATCCTGTCAGAGCTGAAGAAGCTTCTTGGATGAGAAGCGAAACGTCTTCAAAAGAAAAAAAAAACAAAGTCTGACTACCTCCTGAAAAAAAGCACCTTCCAAAAACCTTCCAGTCAATGGATTCATTGAATGACCACTGCAAAAATGGTAATAAAATCACTTGTGGTCATGTGGTGATCCACTTAATGACCGACATGATATGGTCGTAAGTCGAGGACTGCCTGCCTGCGCTGCCAATGTTACAAATTCAACCCAGAGGAGAGAAAGTCATTGTTACCTGCTTCTTGGCCCTGGCAAACGCTAAGCCGACTCCTTCCAGCGGTGGTCCTCTGTAGCCAGGAGGACATGACTCACAGTGGAAACCAGGCGCCGTATTGATGCAGCGAACTCTTGGGAAACAGGGGCTGGCGGTGCACTGCAGAGAGAAGCGGCACTCATTGTGGGACCGAGAGAGCGGCTGTCCCTTTGCGGCCCACCCACCATTCAGATGCCCTGTTGGGAGGGGGCATTCCTGACATGGGCAGGCTGCCTCCACCTGGACCCCAATCACCCGAAAGAACTGTAAAGTAGCAGCTTAAAGCCATCTTGAATCTCTTTGGCCCACAAATGGGGTGGGATGCTTATTGGCTGGGAAGCCAAAAATATCCATGTTTTCCAGAACTTGACCCTCTGGAATAGCGCAGGCGACTTTCATGCCTAAAGTGGGACTAGAACTCAATCCTCTGGTGGTTGGTCTAAAGTCACTTAACTGGCTTTCATGCCGAAGGTGGGACTAGAACTCACAGACTCCGGGTGATTGGCTCAAAGTCACTTAACTGGCTTTCATGCCGAAGGTGGGACTAGAACTCAC